CACACACACACACACACTCTCTCTCTCTCTCTCACACGTACACTCACTAACACACTTACGCCTCACTCAAAATCACACATGAAGCATCGTCAAACGACATGCCCTAATGAACACCTGTATAAGACAATCACCCACTTCCAATTTCTCTTCATCCAGGTTTTGAATTTGTTTTTTTCTTTGGTTCCTGTTGTTGTTGTTAATGTTGTTGTCGTTGTTGTCGTTGTTGTTGTTGTTGTTGTAGTTGTTGTTGTTGTCTTTGCTGTCGTTGTCATTGCTATTGTTCTTTACATTAGAATGTCACTGTATAAAATATCCACCTGTCTAATACAACCACTCTTCTTTTTAATAACGAATGGGCGTCTTAAACAAGTTCATTTGTTCCATAAAACAAGCTCATCTGTTCAATAAAACAAGTTCATCTATTCAATAAAACATGTCCATTTGTTCAATAAAACAAGCTCATCTGTTCAATAAAAACATAATCATTTGTTCCATAAAACAAGCTCATCTGTTTAATAAAAAATGTTCGTTTGTTCAATAAAACAAGCTCATCTGTTCAATAAAACAAGTTCACCTGTTCAATAAAACAAGTTCACCTGTTCAATAAAAATAAAACATGTTCATTTGTTCAAGGAAACAAGCTCATCTGTTTAACAAAACAAGCTCACCTGTTGGTTTTATATTCATTTGTTCAATAAAACAAGTCCATCTGTTCATTAACCAATGGTCGTCTTAAACAATAAATTCACCGGTTCAATAGCAAATGACCGTCTTAAACAAGTTCACCTGTTCACTAACGAATGTCGTCATAAACAATAAATGTATCCGTTTAACAACGAATGGACATCTTAACAAGTTCACCTGTTCATTAACGAACAGTCGTCTTAAACAGGTTCGTTTGTTCACTAACGAACGGTCGTCTTGAACAGGTCCATCTGTTCATGTACGAATGGTTGTCTTAAACAGGTTCATTTGTTCACTAACGAATGGTCGTCTTAAACAATAAATGTATCTGTTTAGCAACGAATGGTCATCTTAAACAAGTCCACCCATATCTCCCCCACAGTTCACGGCAACTGGGGCCCGTGGGCGGCCTGGGGTGACTGTAGCGCCAGCTGTGGCGGTGGACTGGTCAAGCGGTTCCGCACGTGCAGTAACCCAGCGCCCAGCGGTCAAGGTCGGCCGTGCGTGGGGAGCGGGGAGGAGACCGACTCGTGTAACAACCAGGGATGTCCAGGTCAGTGAGGGAGGGTGTGTGTGTTTGTATCTTGCAAGAGTGAAGGTTTACTTAATAGTGGGGCTTAGTGTCTGTCTCACCGTATGTCTCTCTGTCTCTGTCTCTCCTTCTCTCTGTCTCT